GCCGCACTTAGTACCATTCTATCGTGCATACACTCCAAACTTAATAGCCCTCGGCCTCCCAGATGACGGGGAACATAAAGCCTAGGGACGGACGATTTGGGATGTAGACTGCGGTTCATATTTAGCATCTTTCTTGTCCCTCTGTCGAGATTTTTCAGCTCATCTACCGTGTACTTAACTACTCCGAATGAATAGAGTAAAATCGGCACGGCAAGCATATTGGTTGCGCCTACTTTATTTTTGCCTGACAGTTCTGATGACCATATCTGTCGAAGCAAGCGTCTGTACCGGCCTCGGAGAGACTCTTTTACTTGTTGTGACGCTTGGATATGGTGTTGATCCACACCCAAGTATTTATAAGTCTCTCCGATATCCAGATGCCTAAGGATATTTGCATCTACCGGCTGAGCATCATCTTCAAAATTTAAGCAGCGTCCTCTCTTCAGATGAACAAGAGCACATTTGTCGAGCCCAAATTCCATACCAATTGCCCTCGTATATTCCTGAACCATTCTGATAGAGATTTGAATGTCCTTTTCCCCAGAGGCATATATTTTAAGGTCGTCGAAATAGAAAAGATGTGTGATCTTATGTCTCCGGTCTCCAGGAGGTCCACAGTGATATCCCCTGGTATTACGAAGGGCGACAGATAACGGTAATAATGAGATGCAAAATAGTAGCGGACTTAAGGAGTCGCCTTGAAATACCCCACTTTTGATTGTGACTACTCCAGTTTGCATTGTGCCTTCTCCGGTTGTTATGGCGAAGCGTGTTTGCCAAAGTGTCATCAGGTGTTCAATGCATCTTATAAGGGGGCCTGGAACCGCAAGCATTTGGAGCAGATGAATAATAAGCTCGTGGGAAGTGGTATCAAAAGCTTTACGGTAATCAATCCAGGCCATTATTATTATTATTATTATTATTATTATTATTATTATTATTATTATTATTATTAATTATTATTATTATTATTATTATTATTATTATTATTATTATTATTATTATTATTATTATTATTATTATTATTATTATTATTATTATTATTATTATTATTATTATTATTATTATTATTATTATTATTATTATTATTATTATTATTATTATTATTATTATTATTATTATTATTATTATTATTATTATTATTATTATTATTATTATTATTATTATTATTATTATTATTATTATTATTATTATTATTATTATTATTATTATTATTATTATTATTATTATTATTATTATTATTATTATTATTATTATTATTATTATTATTATTATTATTATTATTATTATTATTATTATTATTATTATTATTATTATTATTATTATTATTATTATTATTATTATTATTATTATTATTATTATTATTATTATTATTATTATTATTATTATTATTATTATTATTATTATTATTATTATTATTATTATTATTATTATTATTATTATTATTATTATTATTATTATTATTATTATTATTATTATTATTATTATTATTATTATTATTATTATTATTATTATTATTATTATTATTATTATTATTATTATTATTATTATTATTATTATTATTATTATTATTATTATTATTATTATTATTATTATTATTATTATTATTATTATTATTATTATTATTATTATTATTATTATTATTATTATTATTATTATTATTATTATTATTATTATTATTATTATTATTATTATTATTATTATTATTATTATTATTATTATTATTATTATTATTATTATTATTATTATTATTATTATTATTATTATTATTATTATTATTATTATTATTATTATTATTATTATTATTATTATTATTATTATTATTATTATTATTATTATTATTATTATTATTATTATTATTATTATTATTATTATTATTATTATTATTATTATTATTATTATTATTATTATTATTATTATTATTATTATTATTATTATTATTATTATTATTATTATTATTATTATTATTATTATTATTATTATTATTATTATTATTATTATTATTATTATTATTATTATTATTATTATTATTATTATTATTATTATTATTATTATTATTATTATTATTATTATTATTATTATTATTATTATTATTATTATTATTATTATTATTATTATTATTATTATTATTATTATTATTATTATTATTATTATTATTATTATTATTATTATTATTATTATTATTATTATTATTATTATTATTATTATTATTATTATTATTATTATTATTATTATTATTATTATTATTATTATTATTATTATTATTATTATTATTATTATTATTATTATTATTATTATTATTATTATTATTATTATTATTATTATTATTATTATTATTATTATTATTATTATTATTATTATTATTATTATTATTATTATTATTATTATTATTATTATTATTATTATTATTATTATTATTATTATTATTATTATTATTATTATTATTATTATTATTATTATTATTATTATTATTATTATTATTATTATTATTATTATTATTATTATTATTATTATTATTATTATTATTATTATTATTATTATTATTATTATTATTATTATTATTATTATTATTATTATTATTATTATTATTATTATTATTATTATTATTATTATTATTATTATTATTATTATTATTATTATTATTATTATTATTATTATTATTATTATTATTATTATTATTATTATTATTATTATTATTATTATTATTATTATTATTATTATTATTATTATTATTATTATTATTATTATTATTATTATTATTATTATTATTATTATTATTATTATTATTATTATTATTATTATTATTATTATTATTATTATTATTATTATTATTATTATTATTATTATTATTATTATTATTATTATTATTATTATTATTATTATTATTATTATTATTATTATTATTATTATTATTATTATTATTATTATTATTATTATTATTATTATTATTATTATTATTATTATTATTATTATTATTATTATTATTATTATTATTATTATTATTATTATTATTATTATTATTATTATTATTATTATTATTATTATTATTATTATTATTATTATTATTATTATTATTATTATTATTATTATTATTATTATTATTATTATTATTATTATTATTATTATTATTATTATTATTATTATTATTATTATTATTATTATTATTATTATTATTATTATTATTATTATTATTATTATTATTATTATTATTATTATTATTATTATTATTATTATTATTATTATTATTATTATTATTATTATTATTATTATTATTATTATTATTATTATTATTATTATTATTATTATTATTATTATTATTATTATTATTATTATTATTATTATTATTATTATTATTATTATTATTATTATTATTATTATTATTATTATTATTATTATTATTATTATTATTATTATTATTATTATTATTATTATTATTATTATTATTATTATTATTATTATTATTATTATTATTATTATTATTATTATTATTATTATTATTATTATTATTATTATTATTATTATTATTATTATTATTATTATTATTATTATTATTATTATTATTATTATTATTATTATTATTATTATTATTATTATTATTATTATTATTATTATTATTATTATTATTATTATTATTATTATTATTATTATTATTATTATTATTATTATTATTATTATTATTATTATTATTATTATTATTATTATTATTATTATTATTATTATTATTATTATTATTATTATTATTATTATTATTATTATTATTATTATTATTATTATTATTATTATTATTATTATTATTATTATTATTATTATTATTATTATTATTATTATTATTATTATTATTATTATTATTATTATTATTATTATTATTATTATTATTATTATTATTATTATTATTATTATTATTATTATTATTATTATTATTATTATTATTATTATTATTATTATTATTATTATTATTATTATTATTATTATTATTATTATTATTATTATTATTATTATTATTATTATTATTATTATTATTATTATTATTATTATTATTATTATTATTATTATTATTATTATTATTATTATTATTATTATTATTATTATTATTATTATTATTATTATTATTATTATTATTATTATTATTATTATTATTATTATTATTATTATTATTATTATTATTATTATTATTATTATTATTATTATTATTATTATTATTATTATTATTATTATTATTATTATTATTATTATTATTATTATTATTATTATTATTATTATTATTATTATTATTATTATTATTATTATTATTATTATTATTATTATTATTATTATTATTATTATTATTATTATTATTATTATTATTATTATTATTATTATTATTATTATTATTATTATTATTATTATTATTATTATTATTATTATTATTATTATTATTATTATTATTATTATTATTATTATTATTATTATTATTATTATTATTATTATTATTATTATTATTATTATTATTATTATTATTATTATTATTATTATTATTATTATTATTATTATTATTATTATTATTATTATTATTATTATTATTATTATTATTATTATTATTATTATTATTATTATTATTATTATTATTATTATTATTATTATTATTATTATTATTATTATTATTATTATTATTATTATTATTATTATTATTATTATTATTATTATTATTATTATTATTATTATTATTATTATTATTATTATTATTATTATTATTATTATTATTTTGTCCGTGTTTACCAATTCATTTTACATGGAAATAAGTTTTAAACAATTTTAAAAAGTGTTTTAGTGATCTTTTAAGTGCTTTGTTGTGACACTCAAACATTGGCAAGTATTTTTCTCAAGATTTTATATCGTTTCTGAACGTTTTTGAGATTTCAATAATAAAAATCTGCAATTGTTTTGATAAAATCCTGTTTTGGACGGAGGTCTATCGCACCAGTGGTTAATTTTTATATTTTAATAAATTTAATAGCAGCATCATGAGTGAATCGAATAAATGTGATTTACCTTGCTTAAGGTGCAAAAATGCGGTAACCACTGGCATCAGATGTATTCAGTGTGGTAGATTATCTCACAAAAGCTGTTTGGAAATACTAAAAATTACGCTTTTAAGTAAAGAAACTGTAAATTGCTGTAATCAAAGTGCCACCTCTAAGAATAATAATATTAAAAAGACTGAAATACCTACATCATTTCAACAGATAGACAGTAATGAATCCATGAAAGTGTCCTATTTAGAGAGAATTATCAGAGACAAAGAATCGATTATAGAAAATTTGCATATAACAATAGAGGCATTAAAGGAGCAATTAGATTTAATGAAAGCATTAAAATCATCTACAGAAAGTATTCAATCTCAAATACAGAATGAGAGAAGTAAGCCATCGAGTATTCCATGCCTGTCTGAACCTCAACAATCGTCACTGAAGAGAACGCACAATCTTACAGAACAGAATTTTATATTACAAAAAGCTGATGCAATAGAAGTTAAATCTAGTAATCCTATCACTAAAGCTGCACTGGCAACTGCTTTGTACAATGAGGAGTCAAGAAATACTCTCACATCAGTAATCAATCTTGAAAAAGATGTTAGACCTAAGGCTTTACTGGTAGGGTCCTTAGAAAACACTAGTGATGGTACCCTAAGAGCTTCCGAATTTGTAAAAACATCCGAGTTCCACTACCATGCAACAAATTTTGCTCCTGATGTGTCTTCTGAAAATCTACAAAAACATCTTCAAAAATTTGCTCCAAATGTAAAAGTTCAAAAGCTGAACTCACGAAATCCCGACCAATACTCCTCATTTAAGATATCTCTTCCACCTCTTGAATCTGGGGATATAATGGATAGTAAAATCTGGCCATACAAAGTTTTTTTAAATCGTTTTTTTCCATCTAGGAAACTTAAACCACAAACAGATTAGCGAACCTTGCCATGACTCGAACATCTCGCATTTGTCTGAAGTTAATGGGTGTTCCGTACTTCACATCAACGTCCAAAGCATAGCCAATAAAACTGATGAATTACAATTGTATTTAAATAAACGAAAATTTGACATTTTATGTATTTCAGAGCACTGGCTCCCATATAACCATTTGGGCCTTATAAAAATAAATGGCTATAACCTAGTTTCATCTTTCTGTCGCGAAGAAGGGAAACATGGGGGGGTCGCAATTTACTCAACTACAAATGTTAATTTAACAAATGTAAATTGCTCAAAGTTCTCTGTACCCGTCCACGCGGAATTTTGCGGAGTTGAAATTGCCAACAAAAACAGTGTTTTGATTACGACGTACAGATCATCTAGTAATGGCGACGTGAACATTTTTAAAGACAAATTACATCAATTGTTACATGATATGTCTAAAAAATATAAATTTATAAGCGTATTGGGCGATATTAATTGTGACCTCGATGGAAATACGGAACACGCTAAGGATATTCGTAATATTGCAGCAATGTATGGTTTGCAGCATTTTATCCACGTTCCCACACGCATCACACCTACATCCAGATCAAAACTTGACAACATATTAAGTAATATACACCTTTTCGATATTTCAACTGGAATTGTAGATATGGATATAGCTGACCACACTGGTGTTTTTATGATTATTAATAACAAAAAAACTAATAATAATATGAAACATAAAACAAGGCGCAATATAAATCCGAAAACTTTGGAAAATTTTGCGAAATCTCTTTTAGATGTAAATTGGAATGGTCTGGAACTTGATGTCTTACAAGCTAACGATATGTGCAAAAAACTATTGGGAATTTTTAAAGCCACCAGCGACAACTGCTTTCCCACTAAAAAATACCAGAGCCGAAGTAAAGGGACAAAGTGGTACAATCAGAAGCTTCGTGAACAGAGAAGGGAAGTATTCTTAAAGAAAGCACGTTTTAATAAATCAAATTCAATTATTGATTGGAATATTTACAGAGAAACACGCAGCAACTATAAACGGGCCTTAAGAAAAACAAAGCGTGAATATTTTAGAAATCTGATTGAGAAATCAGATAACAAAAGTAAAGTTGTATGGGAAATCGTTAACACTGAGAGAAATGCTAATAAAAACAAGCATACAACATCAACGCTTTCTCCTGAGGAGTTAAACTCTTTCTTTGTCTCCGTAGCTAGCATGATTGTCGCCACTATAAATAATAGTAATATAAGTCCTTACACATACATCAATAAGCTGCCGAAACCTAGTTTTTCATTTTTTATGCCACCCATTGTTGAGTCTGATGTAAAGCTAGCCATCCTTAAATTAAAAGACTCTAAATCTGTAGACTACTATGGTCTAAATAGTTCTATGGTAAAAATGACGCTAGAGTCTATCGTTACACCACTTTGTTTATTATTTAACAAATGCTGTGAAGAAGGGTTTTGGCCTGATGAACTAAAAATTAGCAGAGTCGTGCCCATACATAAAAAGGGAGATACAAACTCTTTGGATAACTACAGACCAATCGCAATTGTTCCTATCATAGGCAAAATATTGGAAAAAATCTTGAAAGAAAAATTAATTAATTATTTCGAAACAAAAAATATTCTATCTACCCATCAATATGGGTTCAGGAAGCATAAATCTACTATTAGAGCGCTCTTATCTGTTATTGATGACGTAGTTGATGGCATGGATAATGGTACTAGTACTACGGCTACTATGTGTGACTTATCTAAAGCCTTTGATTGCGTCAGCACTGAGATTTTACTTAAAAAATTAGAGTTTTATGGAATAAGAGACAAAATATTAAACTTACTTTCAAGTTACCTTCATCACCGAAAACAGTATGTCTCCTTTAACAACTCAGAGTCGTCAATGTCATCTGTGGAGAGAGGGGTGCCTCAAGGCTCTGTTTTGGGTCCCTTACTTTTTATAATATATATCAACGATTTACCAAAAGCAATTGAAGGCGCCACTGTCATCCTCTTCGCTGATGATACGACTATTCTGACCAAAGACAATGTAGCTTCTAACACAGAGTGTGTCTCAATGGCCAAAAAGTGGTTTGACTCAAACGAGCTCAAATTAAATGAAAACAAAAACCAGTCAATTGTTTTTACGTCTAGTAAAATGACAGAGAAATCGGAGCCAGTACAGCTTCTCGGTGTAACAATAGATGCTGGACTTAACTGGAATAGTCATATTGACGGCCTCTGTTCGAAACTGTCCACGCAGTTATTTGCTCTCAGACAAATGCGAAATGTACTTGATACGACACCATTAAAAACCGTCTATTATGGAATAATCCATAGCCAACTTACTTACGGCACAGTGCTATGGGGAAATTCCAGTCACTCACACAAGGTTTTTGTACTACAGAAAGCTGCAGTGCGCATTGTCGATGGTGCAGAGTATGATACGCCCTGCAAGGCCCTGTTTAAAAAACATCGAATACTGCCTTTGCCATGCGTATATATACTCGAAAATCTAATCAATATTCATGGTAGTCTTGATAAATATCATAGGCATGCTGATGTGCACGATCATAATACGAGAATCAATAATAATCTAGTGCCCCTGAAATCTAGGCTATATATAACTCAAAAAAATAAATTAAACATTAAACTTTACAATTTTTTCCAAGACCTGTATAAAAATCTAAATATTGCTTTACTAAATACCAAACAAGTCCAAAAAATTGCTAGAGATCTCTTACTTGAGGAGTGTTTTTATTCAGTTGACGAATTTTTAAATTTTAAAAAAACTTAGTATATTTATATTTATGTATTTATGGCGCACTTATATTTTAATCCTACCTACTGTCATTTTATTTTATTTTAATACACTTTTGTGTCATTTCAATTTATTTGTGAAAAAATTTGTGCTCAAAATTTAAATGTACACTCGAAGAGTATTTTTTTTTTTAGGATTTCTTTTGTTATATATATTGTATATGTCTTAAATTTATCTGTAAGTAGATGTTCTAAATTTATCTTTAAGTATATGTTTTTAATAGGTTCTAAACATTATCCAATTTTATCATTGTAATTTGACTATATTATATTTTAATGTGTAATGATCTCCATACATATGTATAACGTATAATAACTGTATACTTTGTGACCCTTCTGTACTTTTAATGTATGAATTACTGGTCAATAAAAAATCTATCTATCTATCTATCTATCTATCTATCTATCTATTATTATTATTATTATTATTATTATTATTATTATTATTATTATTATTATTATTATTATTATTATTATTATTATTATTATTATTATTATTATTATTATTATTATTATTATTATTATTATTATTATTATTATTATTATTATTATTATTATTATTATTATTATTATTATTATTATTATTATTATTATTATTATTATTATTATTATTATTATTATTATTATTATTATTATTATTATTATTATTATTATTATTATTATTATTATTATTATTATTATTATTATTATTATTATTATTATTATTATTATTATTATTATTATTATTATTATTATTATTATTATTATTATTATTATTATTATTATTATTATTATTATTATTATTATTATTATTATTATTATTATTATTATTATTATTATTATTATTATTATTATTATTATTATTATTATTATTATTATTATTATTATTATTATTATTATTATTATTATTATTATTATTATTATTATTATTATTATTATTATTATTATTATTATTATTATTATTATTATTATTATTATTATTATTATTATTATTATTATTATTATTATTATTATTATTATTATTATTATTATTATTATTATTATTATTATTATTATTATTATTATTATTATTATTATTATTATTATTATTATTATTATTATTATTATTATTATTATTATTATTATTATTATTATTATTATTATTATTATTATTATTATTATTATTATTATTATTATTATTATTATTATTATTATTATTATTATTATTATTATTATTATTATTATTATTATTATTATTATTATTATTATTATTATTATTATTATTATTATTATTATTATTATTATTATTATTATTATTATTATTATTATTATTATTATTATTATTATTATTATTATTATTATTATTATTATTATTATTATTATTATTATTATTATTATTATTATTATTATTATTATTATTATTATTATTATTATTATTATTATTATTATTATTATTATTATTATTATTATTATTATTATTATTATTATTATTATTATTATTATTATTATTATTATTATTATTATTATTATTATTATTATTATTATTATTATTATTATTATTATTATTATTATTATTATTATTATTATTATTATTATTATTATTATTATTATTATTATTATTATTATTATTATTATTATTATTATTATTATTATTATTATTATTATTATTATTATTATTATTATTATTATTATTATTATTATTATTATTATTATTATTATTATTATTATTATTATTATTATTATTATTATTATTATTATTATTATTATTATTATTATTATTATTATTATTATTATTATTATTATTATTATTATTATTATTATTATTATTATTATTATTATTATTATTATTATTATTATTATTATTATTATTATTATTATTATTATTATTATTATTATTATTATTATTATTATTATTATTATTATTATTATTATTATTATTATTATTATTATTATTATTATTATTATTATTATTATTATTATTATTATTATTATTATTATTATTATTATTATTATTAATATTATTATTATTATTATTATTATTATTATTATTATTATTATTATTATTATTATTAATATTATTATTATTATTATTATTATTATTATTATTATTATTATTATTATTATTAATTATTTTACGATATTCTTCAAAATTGAACTAATAAAAATATATAATAAAAATAATAAATTAATCTTCACACTTGTTTAATAAATCAATATACTTC